TATATATAAATTCCACAATACCTCCCCCTCTTTTAGGTGTTTGGAGTAGTTTATAGAAGAGGAAGAAAGAATGGGTGCAAATATGACATGAGAACAACCACCCATCAGAGAGGCAGGCATCACTGGGCTCCCTGCCCTAAGCCAGCTCATGAGGAAGAAGGATGCCCCTACAACAGAATGACTTCACCCTGTCTCCAGGGAGGTGCTGACCATTTCCTCATGGGAGCTGGTCAGTGATGTTTATCTATCTGCCCGGTGGGAGCCAGGTTTACTGACCAAATTTAGCTCTAGGACACAATACCCACTTGGCCCCAGGCTTTGAGCAGGGCTCCTGGGCAAAGATGTTTCCTCTTGCCTGCCTCATGGAGCCTTCTGTCTGTCTTCAGGGTGCAGCTATCTCACAAGAGATGTATACTCAGGTCACCTGAGCCTCAGAAATGCACCAGGAATTCACTTCACAGGGCAGCACATTCCAGATCCTTGTGTAGGATGGCCACACCCAGATTCCAAATGAGAGGCTCAGCAGCACTGGCTCCTCCTGCGGGCCTTTACCCCCTTCTCAAGCATGTCTCCCATGTAACCTTGAGCTGAGGTGCTGTTAGGTAGGGATGTAGGCTGCTTCGTGCATTTGTGCATGACATACTTTGTCCCTGGTTTCTTCATAGGAAGCCTAGTTCCGTGACTATCCTTGTTCCTCTTTGGGAGCAGTTACAATGTAGGAAGACTGCATGATTTACTTTGAGCAGTGGCTTTTTTGTAAAGGCAGCTCTAGACCCATACTCATGAATTCTCCAAAGGCTGCCATTTGGCTTCTGAGCCTCCTCTCATTCTGCCTGTTCTGTTCATCTCCTGATGCCGTCTCTGGTGCCTCATGCACTGTGGCTTTGCTGGACTGTCTATCCTCCACAACACAGTCCATGGTCTTGGTCCTCTGCCTGGGACATTAATCCTTGTGACTCCTGGCCACTGATCTTAATGTATTAGAGTTGCACAGAGAAACAGAACTAGTAAGATAGATAAAAAAGACAGATCTCTAGTTACCTGCCTGCCTGCCTGCCTACCATCAGCTATTGATTTATTTTAAGGATGTGATTGTGGGGACTAGCCAGTTCTAAATCTATGAGGCAGTGCAGCAGACTGGAGCTCATTCCCAAGTCTGAAGGCTGTCTGGAGGCCAAATATCTTTTGCAGAGAATCTCAGTCTTTTCTCTTAAGGGCTTTAACTGATTAGATAAGGCTCACCTGTATTATCCAGAGTGACTTATTTACTCATTCTACTGATTTAAATTTAATCACATCTAAAATGTATTCCTTAGCAGTATCTAGATTGATGTTTGATCAAATAACTGAGTTCTCTAGCCTGGCCAAGTTGACACATATACTTAACCTTCAGGGTTTGCCTCCAGTATGGCTGGTTCAGACTAGCTGGAATTAATTGAGTATTTACTACATAGCAGGTATTGTGTTAAGTGCTTCTTTGGCTCATTTGATGTAATACTTAGTAATAGTCCTGTGGTGTAGGTTTTAACTTGATCCTTGGTCTGCAGAGGTGAGGTTAAGAGAGCCTGAGTAACTAGTCCAAGGTTGCACAGCAAGCTGAGAAACTGGGGCTTAAGGGCAGGTGATCCCACTGCAGCATCCACTGCCTAGCTGTACACAGTTCTGTTGCTTCTCCCAGAGTCTGCATGGACTCTACCCACATCCCTACTAAGACACTGTTATAACTTGCTGGTCTTTGAGGCACTTCCCATTGTCTGCTCATGTCTTATTCCCTTTCCTTATGTGTTGGGAGAAGATAATGGTTTTTTTTTTTTTTTAAATGAATGTAGTCCAGGATTGTGTGTGGCTAGTCATCTCTGACTTGTCCCTGTTATGTTCTCATCCTGGCTGCCAGGCAGTCCTACACGGCCATTGGCTCTGGCTGCGCACTGTGACCACAGGCTCCAGAGCACTTTCAGCCTCAGCTGATAACAAATTGGGAGGAAGCCCGGCTCTGGTCTGAGGGGTCAAATAAGGTTAGCCCCAACAGGGCACTGTGGCCTGGCTACAGAGGAGGCCATTAATACAGTCTCTGCCTTCTCAGGATACTTAAGTAGCCCAGGAATGTGATTTTAGCCTTGTCCTAGCAACGCTTCCCTAAACTCTCCAGGCTTAGCTTTCTTTCCTAGCTTCTCTCAACCTCATGAACTACTTATTTCAATCTTGCCAGTCCTGCTTCACCCTCATTTGTTGTCCTGTTCATCACCCTCAGCCCCAGGGCACTGAGGATCCTTTCCTGTCTCTTCTTGCCTGAGAAGCAGGGTGACACTGATGGCTTAAATCTGCCTCTTCCTTGTAGTAGGATGAATACTGTTCTCCCCAAATATGTCTAACTCCTAACCTCTGGTGCCTGTGAAGATGACCTTATTTGGAAGATGAGTATTTACGGATGTAATTAACCTAAGAATCTAGAAATAATATTTCCTGGAAAGGCTCTAAATCCAATGACAGATGTCCCTGTAAGAGTGAGGCAGAGGGAGTTTAGAGATCCTGGGACACAGGAGGCTGTATGCAGATAGAAACTGAGAAACAGAGATAAAAGTTATGCAGCCCAGTTGAGGAATGCTGAGAGTACCCAGAAGCTGGAAGAGGCAAGGAAGTATCCTCTGATAGAGCCTGCAGAGGAAGCATTTACCTGGAGGGAGAAGGTTTCTCCTGCTGACACTTTGGTCTTGGACTTCTGGCTCTAGCGAATACACTTCTGTTATTGTAAGCCATCTAATTTGTGGCAATTTACTATAGCAGCCTGGAGGAATTAGCACATCTCCCCAGTCATGGATCTGGAGCCTGGCCTTTTTCTGCCCTGGGGAGCCAAGGTCTAGCTAGCCTGTTGCCTGGCTGTGTAGTACCTTGTATGTACCACCCATCCAATAAAAAGGAGTGAGATGAAACTTCATGGAAGGAAGGATTGAGTGCAGCTGAATTAGAAAGCGGCCCTCAAGACCATGCCTAAGTTTAAATCCTTCCTCTACTGTATGCTGGCTAAATTTTAGTTTCTTCAGTGGGTGGTTGAGAATCAAAGAAAATAATAAATAGAAAATGGCAAGCACAGAGGAAGCAACCATAAATGGTGGTTATTACTGTCAAGGAAGCACAGAGAAAAAATATGCACTAGCAAACTTGGCATTCTGACACACTTCCATCATGAAAGGGCTGTGACCCTCATTCAGGTGACATTTCTTCCTCCCAGAGTGTCAGTGTCTGTATCTGTCTTTCAATCCAGGGGCTAGTCTGCCCTGTCTTCTCACTCACAGGACTATTAAGAGATTCAAAGGAAGAGGCATGAATACAAGTTTCTTGCAAACCATATTCATTAACACAACATATTTGTATTCCAATTAGACAGTGATTATCTATGTCCCAGTGCTTTGTATCCTAGTATCTTTGTGTAACTCAGGAGAAGATAGGTGGTTTCCAAGCTTTTAATGTTACTTGGAGTTGAATCATGCTTATTAAAGAAACTTGGCTCTTAAATAGGGAGAATAAAACCCCAAATACGTGTTCCCTGTTAAGCAGCCCATAATTTTGCAGTTGAGTTCTTGCTTTTCTGGCCTCCCCTCTTTTCTACTGTGACCATCCACTGGCTTCTCACTGCAGGTGCTGGAAGAGGTCCTGGCCTGGGAATCGGACTGTCTAGTACCAGCTCTTCCAACCCTGTGTGGGACTGGTCTGAGCCATTGAGCCATAGTAGGTCTGCCAGCTGGGTAGTATTCCCTCAGGTGGATAAATGGGACCTGATCACTGCCTTCTAGCTGCTTGGAGCCCTAGAAGAGCGACACACATACTTGATCTTAAATTGCTTTATGACAAATTATAGGAGCAGATCCAAACCGTTAGTGGGACACAGATGAGGAATCACCTTCTCTGTCTTGGAGACATGGATGGAAGCTTCACACAACAGCTATTCTTGGGGTCATTCCTGGGCTGAGTCTTATTGCAAGAACTGGATATTCCTGTCCCTGAAGATTCTTGTCTACAGAGGCATACAGGGGCTGCTGTATAGGGTGAAGGGTGGGGTAGGTAGAGCTAGAAAAATGACTGGGCAGAGGAAGTGGAAATGTTAAGTTTTTCTTATAAGATGGGGCAGAATTTGGGATGACTTTTTCCTGACTTTTGAGTCTGGACCTACTTAACCCACATATCTACTTGCACTGTTGCACCTAGACTGGGTGTTCATCTAATGTTTCCACACCATGCCCTCCTCTGACCTGACTTTCTTTTAGAGTACTCTCAGTCCTGCTTGGAGTATGCTTCCTCTTGGTCCCAGGTCTGCCTGTCAAGAGTTCTCAAAAATTCTTCTGCTCTTCTCCACTGTGTTGGATTCTTTTTTGGGGCATTCCCATGGCTCGCTTTATTCTGAGCTGTGGAGAGCCTGTGCTGTGTAGGAAGGCAGATGATTATTTCCTATTGTATTTTTTTTTTTTTTTTGCAGAACCAGGAATTGAACTCAGGCCCTTGCACTTGCCAGGGAAGCACTTATTCCACTCAGCCATCTCCCCGTCCCCCCCCCCATTGTTGTATTCTTAAGGTTATAATTTTATTATTACTATTATTAATTTGAGAAAGTATGCATAACAAAAAAAATCTACCACTAGGCATGGTAATCCCAGGTATTCAGCAGGCTGAAGCAGGCAGATTACAAAGTCAAAGGCCAGCCTGGGCACTTTAGCGATACCCTGTCTCAAAATTAAAAAAAAATGGTTGGGGATATAACTTAGTAGTAGAGCACTTGACTAACATGCATGAGGTACTAAATTCCATCCCCAGTTTTATAAACAAAAAATATAAAAAGCAAATTCTACCATCTGTTTTTTTATTGCTTAACTGATTTTAATAACATAAAGACCCTACACTTGACATAACCATTATGCAAAATACATAGATGAACCCTGCTTTCTTTTAAAAATATAAACTAAATCAGCAAAGATGTGAAAATAGGCTAGTTTCCATTAAATAAATGGAAGTTTAAAGAAAGAAACTTCCATGTCATTTGAAGAAGGGAAATTATCATTTTAAACAATACTCAAGTCTATTAAGCAAATTAAAAAAGGAGTTATAGCTGGGGAGATAGCTCAGAGGCATGAGCACCTCCCTTGCAAGCACAAGGTCCCAAGTTCGATCTCTGGTACCACAAAAAGAAAAAAAAAAGTTATAAAATGTTTAACTTGTACCAGCTTCAAGGTTTGTATTGCTGCCAAAGTTTGTGTGTAATTGACCTTTCAGATCTGCTAACACCTGCTGAATAGATTCTATTCTGGATTCTAAGGCGCCAATTTCTTCTTGCAAGTTTTTCTTTGCTTCTAATATTTCTTATGTTTCTTCTGAGAATGGGTAATGAACACCTCTCCCACTTGATAAGGATCATTGCTCAGTTATCATCTGTGAGCATGATGTCATCAGAATCATCTTCTAAAGTCTGGAGTTCTTTTTCGCTTCTATTTCTTCCTTTAGTTCTGTGATTCTGCTTCTTCTTTTTTTAAATTAAATTTTTTAAAAATTTTTTTATTTATTTATGTGTGTGTGTGTGTGTGTGTGTGTGGCCAGCTCAGCCCACCAGGGGGCGGGGCTGGCTGGCATGTGGTGCTGGGGG